AAGGGATCATTTGCAAAAAAATCATTTAAATTTAACATTAAAAGATAGAATTGCAATTTTTAAATGGTTATGTACTGCATTATATTATATACATGAGAAAGATTTAATCCATTGTGATTTACATAGTGGTAATATATTATTGGAAGGAGGTACTTGTTATATCACAGATTTGGGATTATGTGGACCAGTTGATGAAAAGTCATCAAATAAAATATATGGAATTGTATCTTATATTGCACCAGAACTACTTAGAGGAAAAAATTACTCAAAAGAAACAGATATTTATAGTATCGGGATGCTAATGTGGGAAATATTTGCAGGATGTCCACCATTTAATGATACAGCACATGATGTTTATTTAATGGTTAATATATGTACAGGTTTACGACCACCAATATTACCTGGAATGCCTGGTGATTACGCACAAATAATGCAGAAGTGTTGGGATACGGATCCATCAAAAAGACCAACTATTAGTGAGCTTCGGGAATTTGCTGAAAATAAATTTAATAGTATTAATATTGGCGATAATTGTGGTAATAGTGGCAGTAGCAGTAGTTGTAATAATAGTATTAATATTGGTTGTTGGAGTAATAGCAGTAGTAATAATAGTAATTCACAACAAATTCACAAATCACACCCACTTGCATATCACACAAGTAGAATATTATTATTAAGTGATGAATTTGCTAGCTTATTAAATTATGAAATACAATTTTAATAAGGTAAATTAAATAAATAAATAATTAAATTAATTAAATTAATTAATAACAATAATAATAACGATGTATCGCACTGGGATGCTCTAAAGGTAATAGGAAATACCAAAGAAATCATAATATATAGAATTGTTTATCTGTTTTTCTCTATATATTATTATAACTTCCTTTCAACACGTGTCATTAATAAAAAAAAAACAGATAATAACTATTATAATAATTATTATAATAATAAAGGACCAGCAGTTGGAAGTGAAAAAGTTGAGAATTACTGATGGATGGTTTTATTTATTACAAATATGAGATTTATAACTGTCAATGTAATTTGGCAAAAGTGGAAGTTAGCTATTTGCATTGCTTGTAACTTTTACCACTACTGTAAATGTAGAAAAATGACAAATGATGGTCCCCATATTTGATTGGCTAGTTTCTTTTAATATTGATATTATTTGACGTTTTAATGATAAATTTGATTTAGTAATTTTGCGTTTTAATATTAATATTTATGTCCTACTAGTCCTACATCTGCATCTGAATACATCACAATTGATAATACTGAAAAGGATCACGAAATAGATATACAATAGATGAACAAGAAATAATGTTAATGATTACTCCAAATAAGCAAAATAAAGAAGTTATTATTGAATGATCTCCACCTGTTTCAAATAAAGAAGCTTTATTAGCAATAGAAAAATTAAACATATTAATATTCATTGGCCAATAATCTGAAAGTTGCAACTAAGCAACAATGAAATTAAACCATTAATTTGATTTGAATCAACAATCAACATTAGGTAAACTTTTTTTTTGCTAATTTTATTTTTGCAAAATGGTTATATTTATATATATATATAATAATTTTTTTTTTTTTTAAATAAAATTTATAACCACGTGATGATGTAC